TTCTCACCGTTAAAGCGCGCGTACAGCCGCGAGGTGGAGAGCCTAATCCGCCATCATATCAACCACATTACCAAGCTCGAGTTTCTGCCAGCGTTCAAGGTAGCGTTTGATCGATCCTTCACGCTAGCTAATATCTGCTCTGCCTTCCGCGGTGCAGGCCTTGTTCCTCTCCAGCCAGATGCTGTTCTATCAAGGCTTGATATAAAGCTCCGTACGCCTACTCCACCAGCTATTCTAGAGGTTCTCTGGCAGGCTCGTACGCCTAGCAACACACGCGAGCTTGAAGCTCAATCCACGTTAATACGTGATCGCGTTCAGCGGCATCAAGGCTCATCGCCAACTTCGATTATTATAGCAATTAATCAGCTTAAGAAGGGGGCTGAGGTAATGATGCTCTCGGCTGAGCTTATGCGCGATCGGATAGCCAGCCTTAAGAAGGCGAACGAAGCCGTAACAAAACGTAGACAGCGTAAGAAGAAGCGGATACAGAAGCAAGGAGTGCTAACAAAGGGAGCTGGAGAAGATCTACTCGCTTAGCGCGAGGCTGATCAGTAGATTGCTTATGAAGAGCGTCAAGGAGGAGAGCGATCAGGTGTCAACCGCCAGGCTCTAGCGCGGTGTAGCAGGTGTAGAGAGACTGGCCATAATTCGCGTACATGTAAGAAAGATGCTTTAGATAGTGTTTAATCCACTATCTTAATATATATAAATTTTATTTAGTTGTGGTAAAACTGTACACGTAAAGAGGTGCGCAAAGTTGGTGGGGTGGCCCGCTCGCTTGTATGGCCCGCTCGCTTGTAAAACACGTTATAAGTATAAGAAAGAGAAGCTATATACTCTTATTTAAGAAGATAAAGCTCCTTCTTATACACATTACTTATAAGAGAAGGTCTTTAATATATTTAAGGTAGCTAGGCTACTCTAGTCCAGTAATTTACCTAATCTTAATATAATAGAGTGCTACTAGCTATATATAAAGAGGCTTACTATAAAAAAGAGAGCTCTAAAAAGTAAGATTAAAGCTATTAGAGCCTAGACAAAAGCTTAGAACGAGCTACCTTAGTAGAAGATTTAAGAGTAGATTAAAAGAATAATAATTTATAATTAAAATATTATTAGATTAGAAGGTAGTAATAAATATAAAGAGAGTAGAAGAATAGAACAGAGTACTAAGAGGGAGGCTACAGCTATAAAGGCTATTAAAATTAATATAGATAATAAGTAGGAGGATATTAGTGAATAAGCTATTAAAATAGTAAATGCTAAGATCTACGGTGCGTTAGTGCGCTACCTACCCCTATCGCGAAGACTTTTAACGCGCTTCTCCGTATTCTACTTAAAATAGTTAAGTAGCGTAGCTTATTCTAGCTTATTAATCTTTTTATATATCTTCTTCTAATCTATATTAGAAAGTTTAATTAGTAGTAGTCTAGCTTTAGTTAATCTAGTTAGCACTATCTCTAACCTTCTATAAATTAGTAAGTCTTATAAGTATAATTCTTATAGTTTATATAGGTATATAAATATTTCTTTAGCTAGTTTTAGTCTAGACTATAACTCTATATTTTAGATAAATTTAAAAATTCTATATTCTTTACTCTTTACTACTATAGCTATATTACGTTAGAGTAGAATAGTAAACGACTACACTAGCTTATCTATTATTATCCCTAGTCTTTCTATAGTATAGTCTTAAGCTATTAGTAGGTAAATACACTTAGTAAATTCTAGTGTAATATATATTACTAACGTATTAAGAAAGTTACTAAGAGTAAGCTAACTCTTAATATTTAGTACGTTAAAAGCCTAAGTCTTTCTATACAAGATTTTCTATTTATTGAACTAGTATTTAGAATTAACCTAGCTATACTTAGTTTTATTAAAATATATATAATACTACTCTCTAACTTCGTCTCTATTAGTTTAATATATTAGTAATAGATTACTTTTTAGTTCTTAAATAATAGCCTAAGAGGTTAAAGATCTATTATTAAGAAGCTTAAGTATAACTATAAAAAGATAATCTTAGAATATAGTCTTAGAAATCTACTCTTATATATTACTCAGATAAGTAATATTATAATTTTATTTTATAGATTAGACCTTACATTAATTAATATCTTCTAAATAGTTAGTAGTAGCTAGCTTATATACTCTTAACTTTACTTTATATTAAAGAATTACTTATTAGTATTCTTTTATTTCCTTATTAGATAGTTTTAAGCGTAAAACTAGTATAGGTAATAGTTTAATTAGAATCTTAGAGTAAACTAGTTTATAGTACTAGATTATAAAAATAATAGAAAGATCTAGAATAATTAAGTACTAGATACTCTTATCTTAGGTATAAGAATAGAGCTTGGCAAATATATTAGTTAGTTATATCTAATTTTTAAAAGAATTATAGTTATAATAATATAGTTGTTGTAATCTATAGTAATCTATAAGACGGCGAATCCGCAGTAAGAAATAGAGACACTTATTTAGAACTAGCGCATCACGTGATCTATAAGATGCATAGTAGTTAGTATATCTTAGTACTACTAAGTAACTAAGCACTCCGCATATCGCCTGTAAGATACTTAGTAATTAGTATATCTTAGCACTACTAAGCAACTAAGTATATTATATAAAGCTCTAGTATATAGTATTAGAAATTAAGCTCTTATAGCTTAATATATTTAACTTAAGTTTTAAGTATAAGTATAATACAATATTATACTTACCTAAGTTACTATCTAGTGTATACTATCTCTCCATCTGCGAAAACTAACTAATAAGAAGCTTAATACTAGAAGTCTAATATTACTTCTACTTAAGCTATACTCTTAATACTTTAAATACTCTTACGATAAGCAATACTATAATAAATACTCTAACTACTTTCTAGACTAGAGAAACTATAATTAACGCCTATAAGTCTAACCTTTACTATAGCAATTGTAATAAGCTTAAAGCTTAGCTTCTCTAGGTTAACTATTACTTCTACTTAGCTAGAGACAAGATTAAGTATAATAATAAAGTTATCTTAGCTACTAGTTACTACTAAGATAACGTAGAAAAATAGTCTAACTCTATTATTAAACGTTATATAGATAAATCTACTATTAATTCTAATAATACTACTCTAGTTAAGACTAGAAGGCTTTTAAAGCTAAGATATAATAAAACTTCTTACCTTTTAAGAAATCTCTAATTATAGAATAGAAAATCTAGACCCTACGTTAAACTAGGTCTACCGCTAATTACACTACTTAATTTTAGCAGTATACTACGTATATTAAATAGAATAATAACGCTCTTATACGTATATATTACTAGAGCCTAAAACCTATAGTGCGCAGAGAACTTATAAGAAGTAGAACGAATATTACTAACCTTAATAAACTTATAGAAGAAGCTATTAGGCTTAATAATAAACTCTATAAGCTTATATTAGAAGAACGACTATTTAATTAGAGAACGCGAAACTATAATAATAAGAATAACTAGCTATAATAATAGCACTACTAGCGTTTATAGCCTAACTAGGGGCGATAGAGAAACCATTATCCTAGAACACCTAGTATATATATAACTAATAAGTACAAACCTATACACCTTAATAATCTAAATAAGAGAAAAGGACCTAGTAAGCTGTATTATAAGAAGAATAAGGATAATAAGAAAAAGATTAATTACTATGTATATAGTAAAGAAGGCTATATAGTACGTAACTATTAGAATAAGAATAAAGTTAAACGATAGCTTAACGTTCTATACTAAAAATTAAAATTAGATAACGATAAGTTATAAAACGTTATTATCTAGCTAGATATTATATACTACCTAGACGATATAGAAGTTATTAGTAGATTAGACGAACTAACTCTAACTACGTCTAAAAATATATCTAAAGCTAAACTAGTTAGCGAGAAGAAATATAAGACGTTAGAGAAGGAATAACCTCTTACGTTTAAATATAAAAGGATAGCACGATTCTAAGAGAAAAATAGACTACTTACGCCCTATAAAAAGAGGTAAGATAGCGTAATACTAAAATTATCTAAGACCTAACGAGATAACCTAGCGGAAGTATAGAAGTAGATTAATATACTATCTATACTACTTAGCCGCTTAAGACCTACGCCTATAAGAATAATAGTAATAAAGTATTACTAGATATATACTAACAGCTATAGCACCTACGCTTAAACATTAACTTTTACTAAATTAAGATAATATAACACCTACCTATATACGTATATATTATAGTAAATATTCAAAAGCTAGAATAAAGACTTACGCTCTAAGGGGTAATATAAGTATAGAAGATATAAAAACAGAATAACTTCTACGAACCTATATAGTACTAGTTTAACGTAAGAAATAAGTACTACACGAGTATATTATAGACTACGTGTACGTATAACTACTACCCCACTTACTACTTAGATAAGAGAGAAGCTAGATAGAGCCTATAGCACGTTAAGGGCATGCCTA